CAAGGGGGGGGGGGGCACACGGCCATGCCCTGGTTACTGCAGCTCAACAGTTTATGGTCCCTTGGTGGCTATGGGCTGTGTACAGCAACTGAACACTGGCGTGGGCACGAGCCCTGTTCTGCAGCGGGGCAGCCCTGGGTGCCCTCCAGGGCCTCCCAAGGAGAGGACAGGCATCTCTGCGAGGACTGGATGGGAGTTTGGGAGGCCGGGCAGATGCGTGTCCGCGTAGGCTCTTGCGTGGCGGGGCTGTGCCGTGACCTGTGGTTCTTCCCCCCAGGTGAGAAGCCCTATAAATGCACATGGGAAGGCTGCGACTGGCGCTTTGCCCGCTCCGACGAGCTGACCCGGCACTACCGGAAGCACACGGGTGCCAAGCCCTTCAAGTGCCTAGCCTGCGGCCGGTGCTTCTCCCGCTCCGACCATCTGGCTCTCCACATGAAGCGGCACCAGAACTAGGAGCCGCCTACGTTTGCCACTTCTCCAAGAGCAGCTGAAACTCTTTTCTTTTCCGAGGGGCCTCTCCTCTTCTCGTACGTAGGAACAAACCCATGCTGTGATCAACCGGCAGGGCAGGGGTGGCCGGCAAGCCCCCTCTGCAAACCCTGTTCCCAACTGTTTTTGGTTTTAAAAGAAATCTCATTAAAAAAGAGTTATAATTACAGACTGATCTTATGACGAGGCTCCCGATGGCACTGGGGTGATGGACCTTGGATTCCAAAGGGCTTTCTTCCAGCAAACCTGCTATTTATTTGTCACTCAGGAGCGACTGTCCTTCGTGTCTCAAGCTCTTTAGGACTTTTTTTACCCCTTTCAGGGCGGTGCCTTTGGTGAGCCCAAGGAGGATTGTGACGGGTTGGTAGCCTGGCTGTGCGTGAGAGGTCTCACTTCAAACTGTCGGTGCAATCCTCTTGGACTGCCCCATGGCGTGGCCGTGGATGTGGCACCTCTGACGTGCGAGAACAGGAGCGCATGCCCAGGGCTGTTTGGGTTGACAATCCCAGTCTCTGTGGGGGCATAGAAGAAAGGGCCTATGACATACTCACCTGACGTGCCTTCAAGCAAGGGACAGCACAAAAGCAGATGACAAAAGCCATCATATGAGTCCCATTGAGCCCACCTGTGGTTTCCTGGCAGCCAGCTCACTCGGGGCTGCAAATATCTGCCCTGCTTGGCCAGGTTTTTTGGTTGTGTCCTTAGCATTTCTGCTTCCAAGATGAGTTTTGACTTCAGGTGTCTCTGGGAGGACCAGCATGGGTCTTGAAGCCTCCTAGGGGACTGCAAAAAAGCCACCGATAAAGCTCTGGCTTCCCAGAATACACTGTGCCTTTCTCCAAAAAGCACTGGGCAGGCTCTGCTCATGCCTTGAACACGCACACAAGGAATCAGTCATCGCCAATCACACCTGTCTTTTGCTGTTGCCGTTTCATCACGTTCAGACAGAAAAGAAAAAAAGAAAAAAGCATCTTTGAAACAAATTCCAATAAATCCTGCTGTTCAGATTGTAATCATGTTACCTACCTCACAGGTTCACCACCTTGGGCTCCGTAAAGCACCTTCCCTCTTCTTCTGTAGGGTGCTGTGACGTGTGGGACACATCAACCATTCTTCAAAGTCTACCGGGGGTTAAACTTAGGCAGAACAAGAACCAGGCCATGCCAGTTTAAACAGCAGCCATGCAGGTAATAAATAAATCAGGAACAAATAATGGACCCGGTGCGTTCAACAGAATATTGATTTCCCCCACCTTGTCCTCCTCTTTTATTCTTCCTTGAACAAATTTAAGTAGCGTGCAGACTGATGCGCATCTGCAGTGTGAACTGAAAGGCCACGCTGA